TTCATACTTAACCCAAAGTTCTATACTTAAACCAAGGCGTGAAAGGTAGAATTAACTGAGGGTTTGGACCAAATCAACTCTACTTTTTATTTAATTTAATTGTTTCAATTTGATTTATATTTTTATTGAAGTTACTAACAGTTTATTCATGATGTAGCAATTCAAGGAAATGTGGAAAGTGAGTAGTTAATCATTTAATTACTCTTATTTTTATTCTTATTGCTAGTATCATGATTAGGTTTATTTTATATTTGATTTGACTAACAATTTATTGTTGAATTACTTCCAATATTAATATTTATTCTTCTATTATATTTATTGATCACCATATTGCATGTTTAAAGGGAATATGTAATTGAAAATCACGCCTAATAAGATAATTTGGACAACCTGTTTAGGTTCCTTTTTAATCTTGTTGTTTAATCAAGTGATCACAAATATTTTAGAATTATATGTTGCATTAATATTCAACCAATTTAGCATAATAATAGATTGGAGCAAATTGAATTTCTGTTTGTATGCCTTTGAGATTGCAGGAATGCTTTTCACTATAAGAATCGAGTAGAGGCCAATACGGGCGAATGTGACTCCATGACTCACTTCGTACCATCATCCCCGATTCTCCTTTCTTGGTTCCGAACCATATGGAGTTAGTAATCTCATGGATTATGAATGGGGTGTAACCTTCACGGGTCAATCGTTGTTGCCTATCGTGGTTGTTTTTTTATGATCCGTGAACGGTTTACAAGTTCCTTAAAAACTTGTTGGCGGCTCCCTAATTTCCTTGTCCCTAATAATATATGTCAATTCCCACTTCCTAAGAGTGCCAAGCATATTCACCACATGCTTTAACGTAGGCGAACTTCGAGCGACGCCTATAATAAGGTATTTTTTTCGAGTCTTTAATTTTGTTTGTTTATTTTTTAATATTTTCGGGTGTTCGGTGTGGTTGTTTTGGCTTGTGTGGTGGCTTGGTGCCATGGTGGTTTGGTTTTTTGGTCGGATCTGGTTCGGTTAGGAGGGTGGGTTGGTTTTAGGGTGAGGTGGGTTGGGATTTTTTTAGGTTTCTGGGTGTTGGGTTTGTTTTTAATTTTTTTTCTTTTTTTTTTTTGTTTAATTTTTGGGTTGTGATAGTTTATTTTAGTGGTGGTGGTGACGGTGGTGGTTTTAGGTGAGTGGTGGGTGGTAGGCGTGTCGCGTACCTAACAAAAATAACCTAACTAACCACTACTATGTAGACAGGCAAGTAAGGGTCGAATCCCAAGAGACTATGGTTCACCAATAACTATTTAGACTCAAGTAATTACTAAGCAGAATTCAACAATGATCGATTAACTAAAGAACTAGTGTATGGAAAATTCAAAAATAAACTAAAGAATATGAAGAAATCAAATAATTAAAACATCCAAGATCAAGTATCACCACAATTACGAATGATGCAATTATATTTCTACCCCTAACATACAATTCCAATTGAATGGGGAAAAGTAAACCCTAATCAATACCAAGGACCTCTCTCGAGTATCAATGGCTTCTCTGACATACAATCAAGCCTATTCTCATGGTATCATGCATATTAGAGACATTAAACACATTACTCTCACTTCCCAATCATCAACCCAACTATTCTCATGTTGAAAATCAAATCCTAAATTGATCTACTCAAATCCGTTTAAATCAAACTCTCGTTGTGATAGAAACAATGGAATAATCACAATACTAAGATTACGTCTAACCTAGTATTGGCATAATCACAATCAAATTAGCATAGCAATTGTAAAAGTCATTAGAGAATTTAAAGTTTTAATTCATGCATCAATCATAATTGGGCTACCCTAGATCTTGGAATAGAAAATCTACTCACACATATTGAAAGAAACAATAACAATCATAAATATGGAAAACATAATTGAAAAGCAATTATAATTGAAAGAGAATGAAGTAGAAGTGAATACCAGGGATTCTTCAATTGAAAGGAATTAAATTGTTGAAGAACAAGCTCAAATCTAATGGAAAGAATTAAAATTGCTTCAAAGTAATAAACTAGAACTCTAGAGAGAGAAAGAGGACTAATGGAAAACTAAAAATCTCTTCTAATGAAGATTACAAGGGGTATTTATACCCTTAATGACCTAAAAATAAGAAAATAATAATACGGAGTGTCGCATAACTGTGCCCGGTCCAACCGGGCAAGCACCTCCCGATCGGGCGGTGAGAGTACGGAGTTGCTTTCCTTCGTAGCACTTCTTCCACCACGTGCCCGGTCCAACCGGGCGGACCTTGCCCGATCGGGCGCGTGGGACGGTCTTCATAAATTGCTTGCTAACTTCGAAAATACCAAAAATCATCTAACTCCTATGTGCCCGGTCCCCGGGCGGACCATGCTCGATCGGGCACGTAGAGGCTGCAGCAAATAGTTTGTATTTAACTCATCTTAAATCAGTCATAACTTCATATCTGGAGCTCCGTTTGAGGCGTGTAATATATCGTTGGAAAGGACTTCAAGTCTAATTTTCAATGCAATTTGAATCACTCCATTATCAGTTGTATATCAAACGTTATGAGCATAATAGTGAACAGGTGTCATATTTGTCAAGTATTTCATCAACGTTTTGCTTCATTTTCACTCAAGTTCGTCTCGAACACATGATTTGATATTCTTAAGCAATATGTTTTCATACTCCATGATTATTATACTCAATATTAGCCAACCATACTCCATTTGCATATAAATCACCTGAAATTCATCAAAACACACAAACGAAGAGTAGTAGAGCACAACTTAAGCAAATAATGCAAATATGCACCAAAGATCTCTAATTTTGTAATCAAATGAGCTTAGATACCCACCTAAAACATGTGCAAAATAGGACCTATCAGTGGGGTGGTTTTCTTAGGTGGGGTAGTAGATCTGGGCTAATTTGTGTGGGTTAGGTATGAGTTTTGGTGGTGTGGGAGGTGGAACGGGACGGGTTAGGGGGTTGGTGGTGGGGAGTTAGTTAGGGGTTGGTGTAGTGGCGGTTGTTTGATGTGGGTGGTAGTGGCGGTGGTCTAATGTTGGGGTAAGGGTTTATTTGGTAGTTGGTGGTGGTTGATACGCCGTGCAGTGGTGGCGCAGCGGTTTTTTTTTAATTTCTTAAAAAAAGTTTCCGACGGAAATTGTAAATTCCGTCAGAAATTTTTGACGGGTTTTCCTGGTGCTGGAAAACCTCCTTCCACGGAAAATTCCGTCGGAAATTCTGTCGAAAAAGTGTTTTCGTCGGAAAAAGACAAATTTCCTACAAAAGCTTTTCTAACAACCGTCAGAAACGGGTTTTCCAACGGATTTTGTGGTGGTTCCGATATAACTTTTTCGTCAGAAATGACCCTTTTTCCAGTAGCGTGAAGAACTTAAAGAAATTGCGAGAAAATATTTTATTGTGAGAAGATCATTTTTTTAAAAAAAAAAATACTATAACAATGTATAGTGTACAAATAAAGATGCTTCTTGTAGAAGAGAGTATAGTAATAAACAAACTAATAGTACTAGCCTCATGAGTCATGAGATTAAAATATCAAAGAGTATTGCCTTAAAAAGAGGACATTCATTTTTGTATATCTCGTTATGTGAGTATCATCTATCAATCTATCAATCTATTTATCACTAGTTCATTACTAATCGTCTCAGTTATGTACGTAAATATGATAAGTCATCGATTATTATTCAATTTAAATTTGGCTTAATGATAAATATTAATCAAGAATTGATTATATGAAAAAACCAATTCTTCGCATTTCTTAATAATTAACCACGCAATATGATAAATGACACATGAATTACTTGATATCGACCAAATAATAAGGTAAAAATTCAATAATTACTCTAGTTTAAAAAAATGACCTTTATTTGGATATTGAATTTGGTTAACTCGACCAAAATCTAGACTAACATGGAAAGGATTTGAATCGAAATTGACCAAATACTAAATCAACCTTATCTTAATCAAACTGAACTTGACCGAACCGAAATCATCAGAGCCGAAATCAACCCGACCCAAATTCGTCCGACCTGAAATTAACTGGTTAAACCCGTTTTGAACATGATTTGAATTTATCCAAATCGAGCATGAACCGATCTAGAGTTGACCCGATCCATATTCAACCGGACTCGATAGACCATGACCCGAATTTGACTAGGCCTGAATTTATTGACCCGACCCGACCCGATCTGAGTTAAAAGAGTAATTTTGACCCGAATATATCCGACCCAAATAGTCCTGACCCAAACTCCATCCGATTATTCAAATTGACACCTCTAGCCCTCTAAGTACATAATACATTACGTGTAATTTGCGATGGGGGGGAAGGGCGTGCTGAAATAGTCCTGCTTTGTTTTTTATTGCTCATTGTTTGTTTAAAATGTTTTTTGGTTGAGTGCATAAAATATTGCTTATTGCACGTTAATTGTGCTACTGTCTAGGTGTAAGTTTGTTAATATAACAGATAGATTTTCATTGCTCTGCAAGAGGCCAAAAGTGAAAGTAAATCAGTAAATCACCTAGCTTTAATTTATTTAAGTGCCTAAATTTTAGAGTAATACAAAAGTCTGCCAACAATTAAATCTCAAATCGATCCTCAGTTCAACTAACATGTCAATGCAACTATTGATTGCCGCCACTTTGACATTATTTATCCTTACAATAAATGTTGCAATTTTAAAGAAACGGGAAAAAGTATTAGATTTAGATAGCCAATGCCACCTAAGATATCTATGAATAATAGTATCATGTAAGATAATTTATTTATTTTCGTAGTACGAGCTGATCGAGAAGATGTGCATAACACTATGTAGAATATATGTTCTGATGCCATCTACTTTCTTGGGCAGTCTAAACATAACCAAATTCCATGAATAAATTTTTTTGTTGTTTGATACTCTAATTATAATTAGCAACTAGTTTAGCACTCATTATATCACTCGATTTATCTAATTAACCCTCAAAAGATGGGTGATGATAGGCATAGGCGACAATAAGATCAGTGGAAAGGATGGACATTGAACAATGAAATGTGTTGGATGTATAAGGTTATGCATCAATTTCCCTTGATTAGAGAATTCTCATTAATGAAATATATATGTATTTTGTACAATTAACTTGAAATTGAAAATATTTACATTAAAATGTCATTACATTTCTAGACCACTACACAAGTTCATTTTCCTTACCACAACAGTAAATAAAAAAAACTCAGTAAAACACACTGTACTCACAAAATAAAGATTAACACAATTCATCTATGATATACACCAAATGCACAAACAATTCTCCATTTCCCAAAATCGATATCATATCGATTTTCCATTACAAATCTCCCAAAACTTGTAGTAGTTGGTGTCAATGTTGAAAACGTCCACAAAAAAAAACTCTGAAATGAAGATCGAGTATATAACTGGTAATCAACTAATTACCTGTGTGTGCTCGATTGTCAATTGATCAACGGAAACAACAAGAGCAAGTTCATCATCATGTTTAGTATCCTTTTGTTCATCATCATCGCGTTTAGTATCCTTTTGTTCATCATCATGTTTAGCATCCTTTTGTTCATCTTCGTGTTTAGTATCCTTTTCTTCTTCCAAAGGTTTTGATTCAGGAATTCTATAAATTAACTCAGAAAGTTTAGGCATCAGCTTTTTCTTCCAAATTTCATTGTCAGATACAAAATCTCCTTTTATCTTCAATTCAACAATTACAAATTCTTCAGTTAGTTGATCAATCTCTACCCTGGCAATTAAATCACCCTTAGTCCCAAGCAAGTCCGCAACACCATACTTCTTCCTCCTGCGGACCTGCAAGTCCAGCTCGTTTGCAACCTCCTCGATGGTGTCAAGGATCTTATCCACAGGAACATTTGAAAAAAACTTCTCATTATCCTCAAATGGATCATAACACTCCTTGAACAAACCCAACAAATCTAGAGCTGGTGATAATGCAACTAAATCGAATGCATTCAGTGGTATACCTGTACTACTGGTTGCCTCGGGTGCAGCCACCTGCTGCTGCGGCTGCTGTAAAGCAGAAGTATCAAATTCCTCACCATAATTATCATGGTAAAATGGGAACTTATACTCAGGACCTTTGCCTTTAAACAAACCCCCTTTCTTGAACCAAGGGTCATGAACTATCTCATCAATAGTGATCCTATTATTCGGGTTCTTTTCAAGCAAACGACCCAGAAATCGAATCAGATCAGATGACATCCATTTCGGACAGAAAAATCTTCCCTCCATTATTCTTCTATACATAGCCATTTGGTTTGGATGATCAAACGGTAAATATCCAACTGTAAGAAGATATAATATCACCCCACATGCCCAAATATCAACCATAGCACCATCATACTCTCGCCTATGTAACATCTCCGGCGCCACAAACGCAGGCGTCCCACACTTCGTCCGTAACAGCTGATCATTTCTGTCTTTCAGAACCCTGATAGCACCGAGCCCGAAATCAGACACTTTTAATTTGCCATCATGGAGCAAAAGATTTTGTGGTTTCAAATCACGATGAACAACACCCCTGAAATGACAATACCCAACAGCTGAGATTAGCTGTTGGAAATACATACGGCTGAGCTCTTCGCTAAAATGATGATTGTCCTTTATCCTAGCCTGAAGCTCGCCGCCTTTGGCTAGCTCGATCACGAAATAGACCTTTCGTTTACAGGCTAAAACTTCGTACAAACGAACGATGTTCGGGTGTCGAAGACGGCCCATGATTGTTATCTCTCTTTTGATATTGGACATTATATTTTTCTCGTTGATTTTCTGCTTGCTCATGACTTTGATCGCTACCTTTTGGCCGCTGTGGATGTTCAATGCAAGGTACACTTTCGCAAACCCGCCAGCCCCGAGTAATCCTCCGATCTGGTATTTTCTAAACAATATATTTTTCTCCATTGTTGATGAATTATTTCTTACTTTTTTTTATGGTAGAAAAAAAAATGATGAAAATGTGGAAGAATATGGATGTTTAGAAGAAATTAATGATGATGAATTTGCAAATTTAGATGTTTCTTTTTTCTTGTTTCTAAAAGAAATTTTTATGTGTAGAAATTTTCAAATGGTCTTTTGTGCTGCAGGATGGTTTAATTGGTTTTGTAGGGTGTGTTTAGATTATGGTGTCTTTGTCAATGACAGTGGAGATAGGAAAATTATAACAGGCTTTTTCAATGCTACCTCTGTTCGAAATTAATTGCAAGGTTAATATAGAATGAAAATGTCCTTAAAATAAAGTTGAATAATGTTGTATGGACATATTTTTCTTATTTAATGCACAAATATTTTGAAATAAATGGGAAAATGAAATTTTTTATAATTTGCTGTTTGGTCAAAATATATTGACAACTTAAAAGATACGTACTTAATATTATTATTGGATCTCTGGAGAAATGTATGACTAAATCTTACCCTTAATTAACACTCCATTAATATTACAACCCTTAATACCCCTCCCTCCCCCCCCCCCTCTAATTTCCTACCAAGACTTTCGTGGGTCCATGAAGTCCTCTGTGCAACAGAAAGGACATACCAAAACCTTGTTGATCGGATACCATAGTTGCTGCATAATTCAAATACGCCATTGTAATTAAAACGTATTTGCAACAAGAAGGAGAGGCAGAAAGAAAAGGATGATGCCCCAGTTTCTCATGGTGAGAAACAAATTTTGTGAAGCCCACAATAATGAAAAAGTTGTTGATTTATAACATTTTCGTAAATAAACCAACAACTTTATTCATCTGTGGAGCCCACAATAATAAAAACGTTGTTGATTTATCACGAAAATGCCCCCATAAGAATTTTGTTTCTCACCCTGAGATACAGAGAATTTCCTTAAGAAAAATAAACATTGTTAAGTAATTTTATTATTCCACCTACTAATTCTCTATATACCAAATAAATTAAAAACATCATTTGTATTCTTATTTCACCGACTAATTCTCTATCCATATTTGAAACCAATAAAAGTTTTAATTGAGTAAAGTACGGAGTATAAAAAACCATTATACCTATACAAAAAACTTAAATTAATGTGAAAATAGACGTTGAGTTTGCCGACTATGCCCTTCATGTCAACTATAAACATATTATAACTACAATTATGAAAAAAAAAAATTATAAATTATTTTTAATAAAGAAAGAAAATACTTGTAGACCGTTTAAAAGTCCTACACAGTTACACGTGTTACCTAATTGACAGTTCCATTATTTCATGGAACATTCCATGACAACATCCAGTCAACGACGTTTTGAAACATAATGCATAAACTATTAGCAAGTCTTTGTGTTCACTCCACATTAATTAAGCTAGGATGTAATTATGAATTTAATATTTTAATCCAGTTATAAAGGTTATTGAGATGTTTTGTTTTGTTTTTAAAATTTGGGAAATTCTACGTAATACCCTGAGTTATTGACTATTCCATGTTATGCCTTTCCCTTTGAAAAGATTTACCTTGTAACCTCAAGGTTCCAAAAGTAATTAAGTTGTACCCCTACCGTTATCATTCCGTTACATGTTGCCATTAGTGGAGCCCACTTTACACGTATTTAATTTTTTTCTCGATTTTCGTGCTAAAAAATGTCTCATTAAAGGTTTTAGGGGTCATTTTTACCTTAAGGTTCCAAATTGAGCTCGGATTTTGCAAAAAAGTAATGTAAAAGCCCCGTTTTATGAATTCTAAATTTAACTTAAAAAAGTAATATAAAAAATGTCCCACTAAAGGTTTTATGGGTCTTTTTTTTTTTTTTTTTTTTTTGCAAAACCCAAGCTCAATTTGGATCCTTTTGGAATAAAATGACCCATAAAACCTTTAGTGGGACATTTTTTAGCACGAAAATCAAGAAAAAAATTAAATAGGTGTAAAGTGGGCCCACTAACGGCAACATGTAACAGAAGGATAACGGCAAGGGTACAACTTAATCACTTTTGGAACCTTGAGGTTACAGCGTGGAACTTTTCAAAGGGAGGGGCAAAACGTGGAATAGTCAATAACTCAAGGATATTATGTAGAATTTCCCTTAAAATTTTAACAATACAGAGTATATGTGTAAGTGTATTTAGTCTTCGTAATACATAATCATGAGACATACGGAGTAGTATACTACCTCCGGTCCACTTTACTTGCAACTATTTCCTTTTTGGGGTGGTCTAAATTACTTGCAACTTTCCCATTTATTTCCTTTTTTAGTAAAGTTTTTTATGTAATTTTACCATTTTACCCTTATCTTTATAATAATTCAACTTTGTAAAATTACTAACCTTATCAGATTAAAAAAGAAAACTGATTAATTAAATTAATCATTCCCACCAAAATTATACCCCAACCCTTCAAATTCAACAACTCCCCAACTACCTCAATTGAATGCTCCTCATTCAATTCATCTGATGAATTGGTTGGAGTTCATTTATTCTGGAGAATTCTCCAGAATAAATCCCTCCCACATAAACCCTAGTTATTATTTTCTCTCTTCTCACTCGCCGAATCCCATCCTCTCTCTCTCTCTGTGTCTCTCTTCCTTGGTTTGTTTTCTTTGAATTCCTCTGTTCATCGTATCTCTGTATCCAATTTTGAGGTCCGTCAATGGCTTCTCCAACTGACAAAAACCTAGATCTAACTTACCATGAAACCCTTGAATCAAGTGCTTCCAGACGCCGATCTGGTAGCGTTACCTACAAACCCCAGCGTGGAACGGGTGTGATGAAACCCATTCACCGTGCTTCTGTAATTGCGAGGAGGCGGATCCGGGAGGCGAAACTCGCTGACTATGATAGCGATGAGGAGACGCCGAAGGTGGTGGTCTCTGAGGCTCTGGCCCATGATGAACCACCGTCTGAGGTGGTTCCTGCTGGTGAGGGTTCCGTGGTTACTGCGGTTGTTTCTTCTAGGGGTTCTGGGTCTCCAGTGACTAAGGTTGAGGTTTCAGCCATCGGATCTGCTACAGGGGAGTCTACCCTAGTAAATCTGGAGGTTTCTGAGGCGGTTAAGCCACCGGAGTCCCAAGACCGTGACGAGGGGCCTTCCTCCGGCGCAAAACGCATCAAATCTGGTCCTCCAGACGGCATGACGAGGGAGGAAGTCATTGAGGCTTACTTGCATATCTACTACCCTCAGTTCAACCCCCCTCGTAATTGAATGCGCAGCGTATACTCTATAAACCTTAATTTTTTTATAAGCTTCTCTGTTTGTGCTTGTACTGTGCAATTAGTTGTTTAGAAGTTGTGTGCTGGGTTGTTGTTGCGGTTTGTGTGAGTAGTTAATTTTGTTGAATGACTGTGATTTTAGTTACATGAGAAGTTCATGCATGACTGTTGGAGTAACTGTGGGTAGTTAATTTTGTTAGCCTCTCTGTTTTGGGATGGTGGTGTTTGCTAGAAGTTGATTTCTGTTTGTGATAAAACTGGTATTTTTTGGACATGTATGTTGTTTGATAGAAGTTGATTTCTGTTTTGGGATGGTGGTGTTTGCTAGAAGTTGATTTCTGTTTGTGATAAAACTGGTATTTTTTGGACATGTAGGTTGTTTGATAGAAGTTGATTTCTGTTTTGGGATGGTGGTGTTTGCATTTGTTGGAGTACTTCATTTTCTTATATGTTTGTTGCATTGGTGGAATTCACAGTTGATTGGTTTATTCTGGTTGTTGAGATTGAGTCCCCTGTTGCTTTTGTCAACCTTCACCTACTTGGCATGGAAGTGTTCAGTTTTGACCCTTGTATTCTGCCTCTCATGCATTGAGTCCCTTTTTTGTTCATGCATATCCCTTTTGGTTTTCCATATGATGATGGGACTCATCTGATAGCTACTTGGGTGGTCTGGATGTTCCATAAACCTTGTCAAACTGGTTTTTTGTTGAGCTACCAACACTCACTAAAGCTTTGACTGAAAACACAACCCTTCTAATGGAAATAATAGGTTATAAAAATAAACAAAGACAGAATTAAACTTGTAAATGTTTGTTTAAGCAAAGTATATGAGCTTGACTGATTATATGACTGCCAAAAAAATAAACCTGTTGTATCTAGCAAAAGTACACATAACCTACACATAATCTAACTCAAAAAGTTGTTTGAATAGGAAAAGGTTATATGTCGCAGTCAATTTTGAGTCCCCTAATACTACCCTTCCAAAAGTTATGCACAGTTATCAGTATGCATCTACTTCCATGTGCCCTTCATCATCTCCTGTAATTATGACAGTGTCCAAAAAATGGACAACCTGACCAATAAGATCCATGTCTACTTCAAGTAGTTGTGGTAGTGGACCTTGGTTGTCCAAGCTTCTCTTCTTCATGTGTGGGGGAGAGAAGTTATTACCCCCTTGCTTTTCCAGTATCTTAATCAGGCAGGATTGAAGTGTGATCCATGTGTACTTGTTTAGTATAGGATCAAATTCTTGAAAAGCTCTAGCCACTTCCTTGATTAAGTCATCTAGATTCCTTGGAAAAGATTGATATTGTAATGATTGAATCACACTAAACAAGCCTAAATCTAATATTTGTTTCTGGTGTCTGAGCTGGTTGGAATATGAATTGAATGTTGAACCCATGTGCATGACAAGCTGCTTGAAATTCTTCATCCTTTGGTACCTGATGAGGCCTAGCATTATTGATATGTCCATTTTATATAGTGTTTTACCCCCGTCCCTTGGTCGTTCTTAGTAGTGTTTTTGGCTCTTTCGGGCCACTTTTATTACTAATTTGTGTGTTCTAGTGTTTTCGTAGTTTTAGTTGTATTTTACAGGAAATTGCACTTTTGGAGCATTTTCCCGGGCTTTATGGACCAACTACGGAAGCTAGAAGGACACGACCACTTTTGGAGCCCAGGATCGGTGAGAGCCGGTGATTAAGGGCTCGGTAATTGGGATCCCGAGGCATTTGGACCGAGTGATCGAGACCCTAAGTGGACATCCGGATTGGGCCGAAGAAATAAGCCCAATCAAAGTTCCAAGACTCGAGGTGAAGCAAGGGCCCGATCGGGCAAGCTTAGCTCGATCGGGCAAGGCGCGCAAGAGTACGCTGGTGCGTGGCCAAAGGCGCGCCTGATCTGGTAAGCTGCTAGCTCGATCGGGCGCGGCTGTTGAGAAGAGCAGTGCGAGAAAAAGGCGCGCCCGATCGGGCGGCCTCTAGCCCGATCGGGCACGTGTTTCTGGAAGAGCTCTTTTGTCGAGCAATTAGTTTCTAATTAGGAAGTTGTTTTAGTTTTGTTTAAGTACGCTTGAGGACGATTAATTTCACTTATCTTCTTTCTTAGACTTTCTCTCTCTACTTAGGATCTTTTCTCTCTCTTAACTCTT